CCCCCACCCCCTGCCCCCGCCTCTCACTTGTTGAGCCGCATCCCCACGGCCTCCAGCTCGCGCGTGAGGATGTCCCTGTGGCCCCAGGGCTTGGTGGCGTCCAGCACCATCAACAGCAGGTCCGCGCTCTTGCACACGGCGATGACCTGGCGGTCGGGGGCGGTTGAGAGCGGTTGGAGGCAGTTGGGGAGGGCGGTTGGGGGCGGCTTCAGGTGGCGGCGGTCGGGCTTGGTCGGAGGCGGTCGGACGCGGGCTGGCCGTTGCTGTGGGCAGGCCGCGCAACATGGACCAGGGCGGCGGCGACGAGCGGCGCACCAAGAAGGCCGACACGGAGCTGCAGGTTGGGGCCTGCGTCGCGACGCGCTAACTTGCGCCTGCGAAGCTCGTGACGCACCTGCCGCCCGCGGCCCTTGCCCTCTGCGGCGCCCTCGATGATCCCCGGCAGATCCAGGAGCTGGATCTTGGAGTCGTTGTAGTGGATGACCTGGCGGTCGGTTGGGGCGGTTGCAGGCGCTTGTATAAACTCGTCCGCCGGCACACTGGCAGGTTGGGTGCGACAATGCCAAATGGCGTCTCCCCGGCGACAGCCATTCGGCTGGCCGGGACGCGGGCCCGCACCAACCGGCGCGTCCGGACCGGATTCGTGGAGCTGCCCCAAGTCTGCAGCTCGCAGCTGGGCCATCATCAGCCTCGACAGTAAAAATGAACGCAACAGCAACTAGATTTGGGGCCACGCGGCCCACACGGTCGCCTCACCCCTGGAATGCACGTGAGGGTGGTGAACTCGTACGCGGCCGCCTCCGACTCTGTCCCGGTCAGCATGGTCAGCAGGGAGGACTTTCCAACGGAAGGGAAGCCTGGCGGCGGCGGGGGCCGTGACCGGGGGTGCAAGGGGAGGGGGGGGAGGGGCCACTTCGGAGGGCAGCAGGGGGCGCCGCCTGATCAGACGGGGCCGCCTGCCTGACGCTGCAAGAGGGAGGGCGCAGGGAGCTCCCAGGGCGGAAGGCGGCGCGCTCTGCGCCCTGGCAAGGGGCGAGGCGGCTGGGTGCCATCTCCCGCCGACGATCAGCGCCGTGCTGACGGCGCAGCGGCCGCTGCCATCGGCCCAAGGCTGCAGCGACAGCTGCCGCAACGGCCGCCAGTCGTGCCAGCTGCAGCGGGCCGGCAGCAGCAAGGGCTCTGACACAAACCGCCACCACCAGAAGGGAGCAGCAGCTCCACCAGGACGGCCGGCAGCAGCAGCAGCAGCAGCAGCAGCAGCAGCAGCAGCAGCAGCAGCAGCAGCAGCAGCAGCAGCAGCAGCAGCAGCAGCAGCAGCAGCAGCAGCAGCAGCAGCAGCAGCAGCAGCAGCAGCAGCAGCAGCACAACTGTCACCACCACCACCAGCACAGCACCACTACCACCAGGAGCAGCGCGATTGGCAGCTGCACCACAAGCACCCCCACCACCACCACCATGACTCACCGATGAGGGCCACGCGCCCATCCCCATACTTTTGGACGTCAAAGCCCTCACCAGCGCCGCCCTGCGGCAGCAGCAAACCAGGGGACCGGGACAGGACGGCGTCGATGGCCTCAGCACAGCCGAAAGGAGCCAGAGGCCAGCAACAAAAAGCAACGGCCGCGCCGGGAACACGGCGGCCGCAGCCGCCGCCAGCCCCCATGGTGGCCCGTTCGCAGGCTCGTCGCACGCCCGCCGCCGCCGCCGCTCCTCGCCGCCCATGAAGCCACGCGCACCTCAACTTCGCATGCCGGCCAAATCCAGGCCCTGGTGCCTCGTACTGCGCCCGCTTTTCGCCACTGCCGAGCCCCGCCCCCACATGGAAAGATTGCCCGCCGCTTCTCGCCCAACCCCCCCCCCCCACTTGCCTTGGTGGATGGCGCCTGCAGCTCTGTCCTCAGCTTTGCCAGGCGCGCCTTCAGCTGCCCCAAATGGTACTCGGTAGCCTAAGGATTGGGCGGAACCCATCGGGGTTGCATTGGGTCGGCCCGAGGAAAGCAGCAACGGACGCATCAGGGCGGCTGTTCAGGGGTGGCGGCCGTGGGGAGCGCGGTCCAGCTGTGCGGGGTGAGGGGGAGACGGCAGTAGGCGCCGGCTGCAGGCGGAGTCGATTGCAGGCCCGATGAGTGGCGAGCGCCGATCCCCCCGCTGTCGCCAGCCGCGTGCCTTGTTCCTCTGAGTCCTCCCCATCTCAAACTCAATCTCCTTGATCCTGCGATACGCGTGGCCATGAGACATTGCCTTGTACACTCTTCAGCCACTGAACCCATCGTTCAGGGGCTGCGGGGTGCAGCGGAGCGCGGCCACACGGACAGCAGCACGAGCAGCGGCGGCGGCGCGCTTGGGGTGCACGGGCGGCTGGTGCCTACTTTTCGAGGATCCCCATGGTGGCAGCTGCTCAGTTGCCTGTCCTTATAATATTAATCCAGTAATCGGCAGCTGTTCGGCTCGAGGTGCCCGGTAGCAGGATGCAGGCTGCAATCACACAATAACACGGTAGATCGCGGATTCGACCTTACTGTGAAAATGTCATACACAGGAGTAATGATTTATGAGTGATTGCAGCACTTGATTTCAGCTGTGGCCTTTGTGGGTGATCTACTAGTCAGCATGCGGTGTCACCCGACGCACCATGCACGCTTCTTGATGCTGAGCTGCTGAACCGTGATAAACAAGGGCACCTTCTAGAGAATCAACTGCAATCCCGTGACTGCCAGCTCGTGTTCTGCACCCAGTCTAATAGTGCTGTTGCCCCGTCCTGCTGCACGTCCCGGCAGTACTACAGTTGCAACGGCGCATGTGTCAGTGGCCATTTGCGCCACACAAGCTGCAACTTACTGACAAGCGGCTGCATCTTGTAGCGCCCGTGGCCACAACATCTGGCATAGGTGCCACTGTGGAGTACAAAGAAACAGGTACCCTTCCTCGCGCTGCGCTGGGGTTGTGCCCACCACTGCCGCCGCAACAGCTCGAGCGGCTCGCTGCTCTGCCACCACAGTAGTTCAGACATGCAAAGCAATTCTCTCTACCCCACAGCATTGTAAGGGCCATAAATTGGCCGGCACCCGCCACACCACGCACCCAAGGGCGGACGCTTTGCTGGTTGCCGGCTGGCCACAAACGGCAAAGCACTCGGGCGTCCCTACAGAGTGAAGTCGACCATGCAGGATGCAAAAGAACCTTTCGCGCTCTTACTGCCTGCGTATCAGCCACACATACAGGCTATCTGGCTGGTTGGCCCCTGCAGCTCAAGCAGCTCCGCCCCCTTGTGACCCCTCCCATCCGCCTGCCACGGGTCCCAATACAAGCCAAAGTGCACAGTGACGGCCAGCCCGAAAAACAGGTGCAGGTGCGGTCCTGAACCTGTACGGCATGTGGCTGCTGCACTGCTCACTGGCAGCATCGTTCGGAGTGCAGCCGCGCGGCCACGAGTGCGCCCGAGTATGCGCGGTCTACTCACCAAAGCTATCCACAGGGACCCTGCGTTTTTCGGCTTGAAACATGCTGCGCCAGGGAATCAACTCCCGAACCGTTTTGATGCAGCACCGCAGCGGCATCCCAAAGATCTAAATGGGGGTCTCGACCCTGCAGCCTGCAGGAGCCTGGACTGACAAGCCACGCGCCGGAAAATGGCTGCGGCAGGTGCTTGCTTGTGTGTGGCTCAAGCCACAGGATGTTATGGGTTGAAATGGTGTCTGCAGGTGCCTGACCCGCGTCCTTACAAAACGCACAATGAATCTAAGGAGGGATCCATGCACGCTGCTTTCTGTGTGCTGGACCGCAGGATCGCCTGCTCGAATGTGTGATCGTTGACTAAAGATCTCCCTGAGGCGCTGCTTGTTTGGTGGGCCATGCAACCTGCTGGTTGCAGCAGGCAGGTTGTTCTCAAACTCAAAGCAACTATCTAATGACTGTGTAACACGCTGAGATGTTCGCGGACTCTGGGGTAGTACGGGTGGCGGTGGCAGCAAGGTGGCTGCATAGTCTCCAGACCCCCAGCTTCAAGCGCGGGTGACGCACTGTGGGGCTCGTGTCACCTCGCGCACACACACCATCTATATAGCATGAGAGGCAAAGGGATGTGTAAATCACAAATTAAATGAATCAAGGGGTGTCGAGGCACGTGAAGGGGCAGCCAGCAGCTGGTCCAGGGAGATGCAGGGGCCACGTGTCCCAGTCGATGGTCAAAACAGTCGTGCTGCTCTCGGGGGTGTTGCCATGTCACCGGCTCGGCGCGTGCCGCCCTACATTTCAGACGCCCAAGCGACACGTCCACATTGTTGGCTCGTCAGTTGCGGCCAAGTCATCGCTGCGTGGCTGGGCGAGAACTCACTGCAAGGGTCACCGGCCAGCAGCTGGCACCGGCACTGACGCCCCAGCTCCCAGGGCCCGAGGCACACACCGGGCGTGCCGCTACACTACATAGTCAGGGATGCATGTCATTGTCAACCCCATCGCATCGGCCCCGAAACACTTTTGCGGGACTCGCGCTGAACTGCTGCGACTCCGCGGCCACCTTTGTCAACTGCACAGCCCAGATAGCATCGTTGCGTGGCAGCCTAGCGCTATACTTTGATCGAGACTCCTGACTCAAACTTCCTGGCGGGCGAAATGGCGACGATCGCCCGTAGCTGCAACACTCCCTCAGGGGCCACCGCTATTGTGTTCGCGTTGGTGCTGTTCGTTCAAGGTTAGGGAGAAGACAAACAGCTGTGGTCTGGCTATGCGCCTGCAGGCACGTTTCGCGCGCGCCGCTGTGACGGCGTGGCTGGCCACCCTACCTCAGCACTCCATTGGCCCCGGCGTTCAACTTACCTTGGCCACGTCCAGGAGCACACGCACTGCACCCCATGCAATCAATGTACATGACACAAAACGGTCACATACACCTACACTCCCCAGGCGCGTTCGCTGCTGTTGATCTGGATGTGTCGGTCTACGGCGGCGCCACGCGAGACCAGCAGCTGACCAACGCCGCCACCTGCTTCGCCGCGCTGCGCACCCGGCTGCTTACGGCAGTCACCGCCCCAAACGCTGGCAATGTCCTGCGGCTGGCATTCCAGTGAGCATATTGCCTTTTCGGGGCCCCAGTATCGCAGCGTAATCGCCACCAGCCCTGGCTGTGCACAAACCAGCAACTGCCCGCGCCTGCTCCCGCGTCGCGTGTCATCTGCGAAGCCACATCACCGACCGCGCCCGCCCCTTTGCTGCGCCCTTCGCAGCGACTGCGGCACCTACGACATTAACAACCCCGCCGCAGGCGGCGGCTGCCGGGGCGCGATCCGCCTCGCGCTTGGCCCCGAGGACGCTGGTGAGTCCCAAAAAATGCGCACCCCAGCCTGGGGCGCACGCCAACGTTGAAATCAAACCTACCAAGGGTGCAGCACCGCACCTGCACCAAGCTCACGCTCGCACGAGCCAGCGGCCCCGCACGCCCAGCTATCTATGAGCAAAGCGCAAACCCACACGTCGGCACGTCCCCGCCTCTGCCCCTGCCGGATTCCGGCTCTTTGTCGCTGGCGTCCCATCTGCACCACCCATCC